CCAGCTTTGTGTTTTTAATAGCAAAGGAAAACTGCTTACATAGGAGGACAACAGGCAGATTTGCACTTTGAAAAGATCACTCTGGCTGTAATGCAGAAAACAGGTCAGGGTGGACAGGTCAAGAGTGTATGTGCCAAAAGCAGCTGGGAAGCTGTTATGATATTCCAGGGTGAGCTGATGATAGCTTGGCCTAGGGGCAGCAAGGAAATAAGGAATGAATACATTCAAGAGATTTGTAAAGAGCTTAATTGGACAGGACTTGTTGATGCACTGGACAGAGAGGTGAAGAAGAGAAAGGTGTTAGGATATCTCTGATACTGCTGACTACAGAACAGGTGGGTGATGATGCCATCCACTAGTATAAGGAGCACTGGAAGGTGGCCACCAGATGGGCAGGACTGCATTGGGTCAGCTTTGGACTTCCTGAATTCCTGAATTTGACCATTTTTTTTTTAGATGGTCTTGTTCTATCAGCCAGGCTGGAGGGCAGTGACACAATCATGCTTCACTCCAACCTCAAACTCCTGTGCTCAAGCGATCCTTCCACCTCAGCCTCCTGAGTAGCTGGGACCACTGGTGCCTGCCACCATGCCTGGCTAATTTTTAAAATTTTTTTGTAGATATGGGGGTAGAGGGGGTCTTGTTATGTTGCTGAGGTCGGTCTTGAACTCCTGGCTTCAAGTGATCCTCTTGCCTTGGCCCCCAAAGTGCTGGGATTACAGGTGTCAGCCCCTGTGCCCAGCCCTTGAGGTATCGTTGAGGTACTTGGACGTGTGCATCGGGAGCTCAAAGGAAAGGAAAGAGCTAGAGTTAGGAGCTTAGGAGTCAACAGGATCTAGCTGAGATGGCTTAGCAGGAGAGGGTTGTTAGAGAGGAAGAAGGCCAAAGGCCAAGCCTTGAGAAAGGAGCCTGCCAAGGAGACAGAGAAGATCGGACCTGAGAAGTCAAGTAAGATGAAGGCTGACTTGAAAAATACCTTCAGTGTTTGGTGACATGAAATCACCGGTAACTGTAATAAGGGCTGTTTTATAGTGAAGGAATGGAGGTGAAACCCAGTTTTAGAATGGGTTGAGGAATACGTGGGAGGTGAAGAAATGGAGACAGCCTGGCTGAGAGCTTTGGTTGTGAAGGGAGAGGAGGGAGCTGGAGATGGATGTGAGATTAAGGAAGTTTTTTGTTTTTGTTTTTTTAAATGAAGAGAGGAGCGTCTGTAAATGTCAACAGGAAGAATTCAAATTTGGTGGAGATGGGGCAGGTGTGACTATATCTATGTGAGGGAGTAGGGCTAATGAAGAGATGGGTGCCTGAGAAGGGAGGAGGGAGTTGGCTCCCTAGCCCAGGTGGCAGTGCGTGTGGAGCCTGGGAGGGACAGCCGCTGGCAGGTTGGTGTGGTTGGCTGTGGGAGATGAGGGCAGCCCCATGCCTTGGCCCCTGTGACTCGAGCGGAGATCCGGAGATCCGGCTGCTGGGCTCGGCTGCAGCCCCTCCCTGGCTGCCACTGCTCCAGCAGCCCTGAACTATCCTGTTTCATAATGAGTGAGCAGTGCCTCAGGCCCCTGCCCTGTAAGAGCACCCCCACCCTTGGAATGGAGCAGGAGTGAGGAAAGGCTCCCAGGACTGGCAAGGGCTTGGATTAGAGGCGCTGAAGGACAGGACCAGAAATTACTTCTCGGGGGCAGGAGCACACCGCAGAGGGCAGACAGCCCGACATTTGCTCTGGAAAGAAGCCCAAACGTTTATTCTGGTTTTCTTTTTTCCTGGAAGGTGGAGAGGTGAGGCAGAGAGCAGTGGGACCTGAAATCCTGGTACTGGGGTGGGTGAGAGGGATGGAAGTGGAGGGTGTTGATACTTCCTGGGCTAGGCCTGGGCCCCTTTGAGGTGGAAGAGGGAAAGGCTGGGGCTGGAAGGACAGCAAGAGTGCCCAGGGCCTCCAGGCTGGAGCGGGAGAACCCTGCAGAGAGCTCCTTCCCATCCCTCATCCTGTCGGGAGGAGTAGGGAGGTAGGAAAAGCCAGGGACAGCAGGGTCCCCCAGGTCAAAGCGCCACTCCAGTGTAAAGCAGTAGCCATATTTTCATAGAACTAGCCGGGTGGTCCCTCCCTTGCACAGACCACAGGGACTGTGTTGTGAAGGAGGTCCTCTTTCTTTGAGGTCCAGTGACAGCAGGGGGGCCTGTAATATGTGGCCAGTCCCCATGCTGGGAGCTGAGTCCTGGGAATGGAGAAGAGGGTTCCTGGGGAGAGGGTGGGTAAAAAGCCTTTTTAATCATTAACCCGGTTGATTTTATCTGAATCTGGGCAGCCACCAGCCTCCAGCTCTATTGATTTTCTCTGAAAGCACAGCATCTGGAGCTGGTGGCTGCCCAGAGACGGGGAGACCGACCGTGGGTAGAGGTAGGGGAAGAGGGGCAGGGAGGGGAATGGAAACCAGGCCAGGAGTAGGGGACTGGGAAGGAGGGAGGAGACAGGGTCTGAGGGCTGGGAGACTGTCAGAGGAGTCTTTGGGGATGTGAGGAAGCCAGGAAGTCTAAGCAGGCACTGGGGGAGGGCATAGCACAGCCAGAGGCACCACTGACAGCAGGAAGGAGCCCGGAAGGATCTGGCAGAGAGAATGAAACTGAAGCCCAGAGAAGCACAGTGACCTGAGCAAGATGACAAGGTCAGAGCCTGCACCAAAACTGAGGTCAGTTGATTTTTTTTTTTTTTTTTTTTGAGATGGAGTTTCGTTCCTGTTACCCAGGCTGGAGAGCAATGGCGCGATCTCGGCTCACCGCAACCTCCGCCTCCTGGGTTCAGGCAATTCTCCTGCCTCAGCCTCCCAAGTAGCTAGAATTACAGGCGTGTGCCACCATGCCCAGCTAATTTTTTGTATCTTTAGTAGAGATGGGGTTTCACCATTTTGACCAGGATGGTCTCGATCTCTTGATCTTGTGACCCACCTGCCTTGGCCTCCCAAAGTGCTGGGATTACAGGCTTGAGCCACTGCGCCCAGCCGATTTTTTTTGAGATGGAGTCTTGCTCTCTCGCTAGGCTGGAGTGCAATGGCACAATCTCGGCTCACTGCAACATCCGCCTCCCAGGTTCAAGCAATTCTCTTGCCTCAGCCTCCCGAATAGCTGGGACTACAGGCACATGCCACCACACCCAACTAATTTTTATATTTTTAGTAAAGATGGGGTTTCATCGTGTTGGCCAGGATGGTCTCAATCTCTTGACCTTGTGATCCACCCACCTCGGTCTCCCAAAGTGCTAGGATTACAGGCGTGAGCCACCGTGCCCGGCCGAGGTCGGGTGATTTTGCTGGACTGAGGAGAGAAGAAATGAAGAAATGAAGGCCCCTGGGGTTGGAGAGAAGCTGAGGTGATGGAAAGTGTGCAAAAGAGGAAGCTGCAGTTTACAAATTACCATATTTCTGAGGACAGCGCCTTTCTTTTTTTACCTATGAGGCTATAGTAGACATTCAAAAATGGCTGTGGTCTGACTGAGGGTGGGGTCAGGCCATCAAAGGAGGAGGAAAGGGCCAAGTAGAAGTGGTGCTAGAGGCCGGGCAAAGTGGCTCACGTCCAGCACTTTGGGAAGCCAAGGCAGGCAGATCACCTGAGGTCAGGAGTTCAAGAACAGCCTGACCAACCTGGTGAAATGCTGTTTTTATTAAAAACACAAAAATTAGCTGAGTGTGATGGTGGGTACCTGTAGTCCAGCTACCTGGGAGGCTGAGGCAGGAGAATCACTTGAACCCGGGAGGCGGAGGTTGCAGTGAGCCAAGATTGTGCCATTGCACTCCAGCCTGGGTGATGCAAGCAAAACTCCATCTCAAAGAAAAAGAAGTGATGCTAGAAAGAGCTGGACAGCAGGGAACACCAAGAAGACACCTGTCCATCTTCACTTAGCCAAATCCAGGGCCCTGACAACATAAGTTTTCACCAGGACATTTTCTGGGGCTCCTGACTCCCCACTATTTTGGACGGTAGGAATTCTAGGTCTGTGTCACCTCTGAGGCAGAAGGCGAACCACATTCTGGTGACAGGGACAGAACCACACACATGGACACTGATGTGCCATCTTGGTCCTCACAGCTCCCCTCACCAGTGCAGTTCCTAGAATAGGTCTTCTCTGGGCTGGAGGGGATAAGCCAGACTGCTTCCTGGGAGAACAGAAAAGGAGCAGTGGGGATCTGAACACAGAATCAGTCAGGTACACAGTGAGCAGGGGCGATGTGACGGTAGAGAGACATGGGAAGAGAGAACACACACTAAACATGGCTCTGAGATGATACGCAAAATGTTATGACTCCATAGACTGAATCAGATACAGCATTTCTTTTCTTTCTTTCTTTTTTTTTTTTTTTTTTTTTGAGACGGAATCTTGCTCTGTCACCAGGCTGGAGTGCAATGGCGAGATCTCAGCTCACTGCAACCTACGACTCCCTGGTTCAAGCGATTCTCCTGCCTCTCAGCCTCCCGAGATTACAGGTGCATGCAACCACGCCTGGCTAATTTTTATATTTTTAGTAAAGACGAGGTTTCACCATGTTGGCCAGGATGGTCTCAATCTCCTGACCTCAAGTGATCCACCTGCATTGGTCTCCCAAAGTGCTGGGATTACAGGTGTGAGCCACCGCACCTGGCCCAATCCCCCATTCTTTCTGTAACATCAAGATGGTATAAAATCATCAACCATCTGGCTATTTCTTTGAGTCTTGTATTTTGTATGACTCCCATGCATGTTAGTTCTACTAATCTGCTTTTTTCAGTTGATTTTTCAGCAAACCTTCAGAGGGTGCAGGGGGAAGTGTTCCTTTGGCCCCTGCAGCACCACAGGACACCAGGTCTTGTCTGTGGTCATGGTGCTAACGGGTGCCAGCCTGGATCAGTCCTGCATCATGGAGCTTCACCCTGGACATTCCAAAGGGCAGGCTGCGGCTGGGGGCTGAGGGATAATGAAGGTGGTATGTCTGAAGTCTCCTGTCTATACCTTCTTTTCTCTCCCCTTTCTCTGACAGCTCAACATCCTGGTGGACACAGGCAGCAGTAACTTTGCAGTGGGCGCTGCCCCCCACCCCTTCCTGCATCGCTACTACCAAAGGCAGCTGTGAGTCCTGGGGAGAACCCCGGGGAGGTTCCAAGGCCAAGAAAGGTCAGGGATGGGTACAGAGAGAAAGATTTGATCCTCAGATACTTTCTTCTTACTAGGGAAGGGGAAGGGTGAAAAAAAGACTGACAGGAGGGACAGGGTAAAGGGGGTGGTTAGAGAAGCTACACAATGGGAAAAGGTGAATTGAGAGGCAGCTAGTGTTCCAGTACTGAGACAGGGCAGCCTCCTGTGGGAGGGAAAGGAAGGAGAGCAGCCCCAGAGCTCACAGAACAATCTTAGGGGGCTCATTTTCTCTGCCAGAATGGGGAGACGAAGTACCGGCATCCCCTCTGTCTCAGTTGTCTGACAATACCAGCTGAACAGGCCTCAGTGATAGCTCCCCTTGCTGTGTTCTTACCTAGGGCCACTCCAGGTGGCTTTGCATAGTCCAAGGACATGAAGGAAAGGATCTTCCATAAACCCCTCTGCCTAGACCAGTATCAGGGAACTGAAAGCTAAGGATGTCCTCCGTGCACCACCCAGAGTGCCACCAGTTGGATTCCACTTACTGGTGAAAGGGGGGTTGAAGTGGGCTTTAAGGTAAGAGGCAGTAAGGGATGATCTGGAACCCTCCTTAGCATAAAAGCAGGAAGAGGAAGGCGTGAAAGGACAGCAAACATCTGAGACATCTGTGTGTGTGCAAACCTGAGTAGAGGCTTAAATCCTGTCCTTGGACTTCTAGGCAGCTGGCAAAACCCACCTTCCCTGTTTCCTCCTTTAGTGTCCCTGTCTAAAAGAAGCAGTCAGGGAGGAGGGTGCGGGTAGGATCGGTGAAAGGGCATTCATTCCAGGTCCTCATCCACTTCCATCACTGCCCCCACCACACACGGAAGCCCTGGTTGGTGGTGTGATTAAACACAGGTGGGGCTGCCACATGTTGAGCACGTTTCAGAAGTGGTGTGTAATACCAACCTGCTCTGCTGAGATGCTTGTGTAAATCCCTTCTCTAGAACTTGCTGTAGAGGTTTCACATTCACCCTGCCTGGCACTTTCTCTACCACTCAGATGGTACCACTAGGTCCCAAGGCAGTAAGAGAGTCAATGGTTCCTTTTCTCTGGGAGCTTGACAGAGCCAGAGGGCAGAAGAGATGCCCACTAACTGTCCCTACAGCAGCAGCAGCAGCAGCAGGCACAATGCACAAAGCCCAGGCTTGTTCTTCACAGAGCCTGAGCTCAAGATCTAGGAATATGAGCTATGGGGACAGGAGAGTGAGCCTCAGCAATAGTTCCCTTCATCTATTTGCAAGGCCATTTTACACTCTGTTCTGGGTGATGGGTCTAGGGATGTTTTGCTGAGCAGTCTGAAAGCAGACTCTAGGATTCCCCTGAGATTAGATAAGGTGGCACTGGGAGTAGGTTTAACTGAGACCCTATACGAGTTGTGGGCATCCACAGATCTCTGCCTTCTTTCCACAGGTCCAGCACATACCGGGACCTCCGGAAGGGTGTGTATGTGCCCTACACCCAGGGCAAGTGGGAAGGGGAGCTGGGCACTGACCTGGTAAGCATCCCCCATGGCCCCAACGTCACTGTGCGGGCCAACATTGCTGCCATCACTGAATCAGACAAGTTCTTCATCAACGGCTCAAACTGGGAAGGCATCCTGGGGCTGGCCTATGCTGAAATTGCCAGGGTGAGAGGAACAGGGCTTGGCCCTACACACTGTCTGCACACTGCACACTACACAGAAGGAATTAGGAGAGAGAAGGGGAATTAGCCAAAGGAGGGAAACAATCAATTTAAAGGATTATTTAACAGTGTTATAGGATGGGAGTCTAAATTTTAGCCCTATAGAGGGCAGAACTCGAGTCAGAGAAGCTGTGATGGGTACAAGAATAAGCTGCAGTTTCTATGTAGTCTAAGTTTTTTTTTTTTTTTTGAGATAGAGTTTCGCTCTTGTTGCCCTAGCTGGAGTGCAATGGCATGATCTTGGGTCACTGCAAAACCTCTGCCTCCCAGGTTCAAGCGACTCTCCTGCTTCAGCCTCCCAAGTAGCTGGGATTACAGGCACCCGCCACAAGGCCTGGCTAATTTTTTGTATTTTTAGTAGAAACAGGGTTTTACCATGTTAGCCAGGCTGGTCTTGAACTCCTGACCTCAGGTGATCCGCCCACCTCCATCTCCCAAAGTGCTGGGATTACAGGCATGAGCCACAGCACCCGGCCACTCTAAGATCTTTAATAAAGGCCCCCATAAATCTAAAGCAGGTTAGGGATATGGGGATGAAAGATATATGAATTTGGCTGGGCGTGGCAGCTCATGTCTGTAATCCCAGTGTTACAGAAGGCCAAGGCAGGTGGAAATCCCATCTCTACTAAAAACACAAAAATTAGCCAGGTGTGTTAGCATATGTCTGTAATCCTAGCTATTCGGGAGGCTAAGGCATGAGAATCACCTGCACCTTGGAGGTGGAGGTTGCAGTGAGCCAAGATCACATCACTGCACTCCAGCCTGGGCAACAAGAGTGACAGTCTGTCTTAAAAAAGAAAAAAAAAAGATCTATAAATCTGTGAACCTATCAATACTGTCCTGTTTGCATTGCCAAGGCTCTTGCTAATCCTCCCTCTGTCAAATCTCAGTGTGTTAAGATGGTCTTTCCCACAGAGCATCCCCCAAGCTTTCAAATTTGCCTTCAAGTTTAGACAGCTGGCCTCTGTCCTTTAGGGCCATATGAGAACTCACTCCTTGTCTCTTTCTGCCAAAGCCTGACGACTCCCTGGAGCCTTTCTTCGACTCTCTGGTAAAGCAGACCCACGTTCCCAACCTCTTCTCCCTGCAGCTCTGTGGTGCTGGCTTCCCCCTCAACCAGTCTGAAGTGCTGGCCTCAGTTGGAGGGAGCATGGTGAGTAGGTTCTCAGAGAGGGGAAGTCCTGGCACTGGGGGAGAGATGGGTGCCATCTGCCCCCACCCCCCGGAAAGCTACACCACAGTTTTGGCTCCAGTACTTGGAATCAAGAGGAACCTCTTTATATTCCTTACCCTCACTTTATTTTTCTATCTTTTCTTCTTTGCATTATTCCAGAAAGGAATCAAGGCATCTATGGTAAACTTGGAAAGGAAGGCAATTAGGAAAATTTCAAAGGAAATGAAAATAAGACCTGTTGAATGAAAATTATTCATTTTGATGGTCAGAAGGCAGAGATATAAGGAGTTTGTCTATTTATTAATTAATTAGAACATGGTAAATTGTTCTCCAATAAGCAGAGAAAATATAAGTTGTAATAGTAACAAATAACCATTCATTCAACATTTATTGTGGCAGTTTAGATTTAAATTAACTTTATATAAAGGGCTGTACGATTCTGAAACAAATAATTCAAAATCCTGGAAAGTCATTTTTCCTGAACACATTTAACAAACTAGAAATCACTTTGGGCATGATTTGATTAGAAGCAGGAAGATGAAAAGGGTAACCTGTAGAAGACCTTGCCACCCCAAGAAATCACTGATCTTATTGCTTGGTCCTTGGGGGACTCGCTGTCCTTCTGTGCCAGGACACGTGCACCTGCCTTTTTTTCCCTAGATCATTGGAGGTATCGACCACTCACTGTACACAGGCAGTCTCTGGTATACGCCCATCCGGCGGGAGTGGTATTATGAGGTGATCATTGTGCGAGTGGAGATCAATGGACAGGATCTGAAAATGGACTGCAAGGAGGTAATACAACCAAGGGGGACCCAGGGAATGTGAGCGGGTAGGCAATACAGTGTGAAGGAAGACTCTAGTTACGAGTTCCTGGGAGGACGAGGCAGAGGTAATAGGACCTGCCAAAAGGGTTCGAAGTTGAGCCTAGAATAGTCGGGGGCTTAATGGTCACACAGCAGGACCTAAGTTTTGGGGCCTAGGGACTGGTAGTGGAAAAAAAACCCACAGAACTAGTTATGATGTTTGGACTTTAGTCACTGCCTTGCTTTGTAGCCTTGGGCAAGTCTTTTGCAAGACATGGTGATAGAGTGAAGAGTGTGTCTTTGGAGTCGGGGAGAACCAGATCTGAATCTGGCTCTGATGTCTACTACCTATGTACCTTTAGGCCGGTTACTATTCTGTGTTTCAGTTTCCTTATCTGCAAAACAGGTAAAAATAACTTTCTAAGAATATCAGAGATAATGTATAGTGTTTATCTCTGTGGTTGGCAGTACTCAGTAAACGGTGACTAAACCATTTATGTCTTCCTTCCCTAGATTCTTACGTATATTAAATTAGAAGAGATATAAATGTACTAGGAAAAGTTAAAAGCGGCCAGGTGCAGTGGCTCATGCATGTAATAATACCAGCACTTTAGGAGGCTGAGTCGGGCAGATCATTTGAGGTCAGGAGTTTGAGACTAGCCTGGCCAACATGGTGAAACCCCATCTCTACTGAAAATACAAAAAAATTAGCCAGACGTGGTGGCGGGCATCTGTAGTCCCAGCTACTTGGGAGACTGAGGCAGGACAATGGTTTGAACCCAGGAGGCAGAGGTTGCAGTGAGCTGAGATTACACCATTGCACTCCAGCCTGGCTGACAGAGCTGTGTCTAAAAAAAATAAAAAATAAAAAAATACCGTGTGCCTTCCATCTGTTGGGCACAATTCTAGGTGCTTTCAATTGTTGATTTATTTAACCCTTACAATAACCATTTGAGGTAGGTACTATTTTTATCCTCACTTTAGAGATGAAGAAACTGAAGCACAGAGGTTAACTTGTCTAAGGAGGTAGACTTAGGAGGTGCCAAAGCCAAGATGCCAGCCCAGCCAGGGCCTCAGCAGTAACTCCCTACTGCCCAGAGCCCATCATCAAAAATCTTTTGACTCTAACTCTCTCTTCTCCCCCTTAGTACAACTATGACAAGAGCATTGTAGACAGTGGCACCACCAACCTTCGTTTGCCCAAGAAAGTGTTTGAAGCTGCAGTCAAATCCATCAAGGCAGCCTCCTCAGTGAGTGGACTAAGGGTGGGGGTAAAAAAGGTGGTACAGTGTCTGAGGGAGACAGTGAGTCACATTCTTCAGCAAGAGCCAAGATGTCTGTACTTAGACCCTTCTACTCAGAGCTCTTACTCTTCCCCTGGTGGGGCGCAGTGCCTCACACCTGTAACTGCAGCACTTTGGGAGGTTGAGGCAGGCAGATCACGAGGTCAGGAGTTCAAGAACAGCCTGACTAACATGGTGGAACCCTGTCCCTACTAGAAGTACAAAAATTGACCGGGCGTGGTGGTGCACGCCTGTAATCCTGCTACTGGGGTGGTGGTTGCTGAGACAGGACAATCACTTGAACCCCAGAGGTGGAGGTTGCAGTGAGCTGAGATCAGGACTGTACTCCAGCCTGGGCAAAAGAATGAGACTCCGCTTAAAAAAAAAAAAACAAAACCTTTTATGGGTGTCACTTTGCTTAACACATGACCCTGGTATAAAAGTCTGACATCACACTCCCACTCTCTTTCTCTAACCCTTTGGTTGACCCCTCCCCACTTTGGATATGTCACTGGAAAAGCAAATAAAGGGCCTGGTTAATATATCTGAACACGGGAGGGGCGAGATGATAAAGAGGCTTTTCTTCATTGTTATCCCCTTCTTGCCAACACAGACGGAGAAGTTCCCCGATGGTTTCTGGCTAGGAGAGCAGCTCGTGTGTTGGCAAGCAGGCACCACCCCTTGGAACATTTTCCCAGTCATCTCACTCTACCTAATGGGTGAGGTTACCAATCAGTCCTTCCGCATCACCATCCTTCCACAGGTATGTCCCAGCCTGAGTCAGAGGGATCTCAGAAAGGGGCAAAGTACACACTGGGAGACAGTGAACAGGCATGGCTTGCCAGAACTTGGAAGACAGATGAGTAGTGTCCAGTGGTAACGGGGTCTTAGAAAACCCAATGCGTCAGAGCTCAGGGATGGCAAAGGGAAGGGCACAGGTGCCTAGAAGGCAGAGGTGGGGTGAAGGAGAGAGACGATACTCACCCTGTGATTGCTTACCCCTAGCAATACCTGCGGCCAGTGGAAGATGTGGCTACATCCCAAGATGACTGTTACAAGTTTGCCATCTCACAGTCTTCCACGGGCACTGTTATGGGAGCTGTTATCATGGAGGGCTTCTATGTTGTCTTTGATCGGGCCCGAAAACGAATTGGCTTTGCTGTCAGCGCTTGCCATGGTGAGAGTGACAGGGTTGAGGGTTTGGGATCAGTCTCTCTGTATTTTCCTTGTCAACCAACAGTTAGCATACCTGAGTCCCTGTCACTTTAGGGGAGGGTAATAACAGTTGCCTTAAACCCAAGTCAACAATTCTGCAAAAGCTAGTGTCAATGCTTGTCCTTTCTTGTACGGCCTGCCATAATGACCAATGCCTGGATTGGTAACCTCTGCTGGAAACCAAGCATCAAGAGCTGCCCGAGTACCTTGGGAAGCTCTTAATGCAAGGGTAGCAGGCTGAGCCTACGGTGGCCCTGTCAGCTGCCACATGGCAAGGCTGAATGCTACTTCAGAAAGGTGGCAGGATTTTGCAGTTGGATTTCAGCAGCAGAAAGTAAGTTTACTAGGTGTGGCTTTTGGTCAAGGGGCTGGCTTTTGGCCATCTCAGAACTACTGACTTTTAGTTACCACTCCCATCAGCTGGGTATACAAGGAAGGGCTGCTGGTCTCAGTGACTTGGAAGGGAAGACTGGCTTCTACCTGGTGCTGGCTTCCCGGCCTGCTCCTAAATATCTCCTGGGAAGGACACTGAATAGATTCTGCAGGGGCTAATTTCAGGGTCTCTCTATCAGGAATTTCTTTTTGTTATATAACCCAAACTACTCTATGACCACGAGAGCTGTCCATTCACATTTGCCCTCTCCCCAGTGCACGATGAGTTCAGGACGGCAGCGGTGGAAGGCCCTTTTGTCACCCCGGACATGGAAGACTGTGGCTACAATATTCCACAGACAGATGAGTCAACCCTCATGACCATAGCCTATGTCATGGCTGCCATCTGCGCCCTCTTCATGCTGCCACTCTGCCTCATGGTGTGTCAGTGGCGCTGCCTCCGCTGCCTGCGCCAGCAGCATGATGACTTTGCTGATGACATCTCCCTGCTGAAGTGAAGAGGCCCATGGGCAGAAGATAAGAGATTCCCCTGGACCACACCTCCGTGGTTCACTTTGGTCACAAGTAGGAGACACAGATGGCACCTGTGGCCAGAGCACCTCAGGACCCTCCCCACCCACCAAATGCCTCTGCCTTGATGGAGAAGAAAGGCTGGCAAGGTGGGTACCAGGGACTGTACCTATAGGAAACAGAAAAGAGAAGAAAGAAGCACTCTGGTGGCGGGAATACTCTTTGTCACCTCAAATTTAAGTTGGGAAATTCTGCTGCTTGAAACTTCAGCCCTGAACCTTTGTCCACCATTCCTTTAAATTCTCCAACCCAAAGTATTCCTCTTTTCTTAGTTTCAGGAGTACTGGCATCACACCCAGGCTACCTTGGCATGTGTCCTTGTGGTACCCTGGCAGAGAAGAGACCAATCTTGTTTCCTTGCTGGCCAAAGTCAGTAGGACAGGATGCACAGTTTGCTGTTTGCTTTAGAGACAGGGACTATATAAACAAGCCTAACATTGGTGCAAAGATTGCCTCTTGAATTAAAAAAAAACTAGACTGAATATTTATACAAATGGGGGCGGATGGAAAGAGAAGGAGAGGGAGCACAAAGACAGGGAATAGTGGGATCAAAGCTAGGAAAGGCAGAAACACAACCACTCACCAGTCCGTTTTAGACCTCATCTCCAAGATAGATAGCATCCCATCTCATAAGATGGGTGTTGTTTTCAATGTTTTATTTTTTGTGGTTGCAGCCTGACCAAAACTGAGATGGGAAGGGCTTATCTAGCCAAAGAGCTCTTTTTAGCTCTCTTAAGTGAAGTGCCCACTAAGAAGTTCCACTTAACACATGAATTTCTACCATATTCGTTTCACTTGTCTCTACCTGAACCCTTTATTCTACATATGATAGGAAGCACTGAAATATCCTAACCCCCTAAGCTCCAGGTGCCCTAGGGGAGAGCAACTGGAATATAGCAGGGCTGGGCTCTGTCTTCCTGGTCACAAGTTCACTCTTTCCCCCAAATCTTCCTCTAGAGCTTTGCAGACGAGGTGCTAAAAGGAATAGGTAAGAGACCTCTTCTACCTAATCCTTAAAAGCATAATGTTGAAGATTCATTCAACAGCTGTTGCCCTATAATTCCTGCCTCGATTTTTTCCTATTACGCTGTAAGAAGTGGCAAGATCTGTACATAATACAGAGTGGTTTCATTGCCTTCCTACCCTCTTTAATGGCCCCTCCATTTATTTGACTAAAGCATCACACAGTGGCACTAGTATTATACCAAGAGTATGAGAAGTACAGTGCTTTCTGGCTCTAACATCATTGCCTTCAGTATCAAGGCTGCCTGGAGAAAGGATGGCAGCCTCAGGACTTCCTTATGTCCTTTACCACAAGAGCTCCTTGATGAAGGCCATCTTTTTCTCCTATCCTGCTCTCCCCTCCCCACTTCTAACGGTACGTGGGTACCCAGGCTGGTTCTTGGGCTAGGTAGTGGGGACCAAGTTCATTACCTCCTTATCAGTTCTAGCATAGTAAACTAAAATACCAAGTGTTAGTGGGAAGAGTGGGGCTTTCCTGGTATACCCACTGCATCCTACTCCTATCTGGTCAACATGCTGCTTCCAGGTATGGGACCTGCCAAGTGTAGAATTACCTGATAAGGGAGAGGGAAATACAAGGAGGGCCTCTAGAGTTCCTGGCCTCAGCCAGCTGCCCGCAAGCCATAAACCAATAAAACAAGAATACTGAGTCAGTTTTTTACCTGGGTTCTCTTCATTCCCACTGCACTTGGTGCTGCTTTGGCTGACTGGGAACACCCCATAACTACAGAGCCTGACAGGAAGACTGGAGACTGTCCGCTTCTAGCTTGGAACTTCCTCTGTAAATAAATTTCCAGAACTGCTACCATGAAGTGAAATGCCACATTCTGCTTTATAATTTCTACCTACGTTGGGAAAAACTGGCTTTTTCCCAGCCCTTTGCAGGGCATAAAACTTAACCCCTTCAATAGCAAGTCCCATCAGCCTATTATTTTTTAAAGAAAACTTGCACTTTGTTTTCTTTTTACAGTTATTTCCTTCCTACCCCAAAACTCTAAGTGTAAAAAAAAAAAAAAGTCTTACCAACAGCTTCTTGCTTTTAAAAATATGTATTATACACCTCTATTTTTAAACTCTACTTCTGAAAAATGACCGTCCCGTTCTCCACTCACTGTGTTTGCGGCCTTTCCCATTGGTCTGCATGGGTTTTATTATTGCAGGCCAGTGGACAGAGGGAGAAGGGAGAACAGGGGTGGCCAACACTTATATTGCTTTCTGACTGATCTTGAACAAGAAAAAGAGTAACACTGAGATCCTTGCTCCCATGTGCAACTCTCAAAAATACTTATCCTCTTGCTAGAGTGGGCTTTCCAGGGCATTTAAGGGGAAGCAGTTTAGCCCCTCCCCACCCCTTCCTTTTGTCTCTTTTTACTCCTTTGGCTTCAAAGGTTTTTGGAAAATAAAAAATATGCTTTACACTTATTTCTAATTTCTAAATTTTCAGGGGATACTGAAAAATACGGCAGGTGGCCCAAGGCTGCTGTAAAGTTGAGGGGAGAGGAAATCTTAAGATTACAAGATAAAAGTCCAGGCGTGGTGGCTCACACCTGTAATCCCAGCACTTTGGGAAGCTGAAGTGGGTGGATCACGTGAGGTCAGGAGTTTGAGACCAGCCTGACCAACATGGAGAAACCCCATCTCTAATAAAAAAAAAAAAAAAAGATTACAAGATAAAAAATGAATCCCCTAAACGAAAAGAACAATGGAACTGGTCTTCCATTTTGCCACCTGTTCATGACAGCTACTAACCTGGAGGCAGTAACGTTTCATTAACCAAAGAAAGTGGGTCACCTGACCTCTGAAGAGTTGAGTACTCGGGCCACTCCAATCACCCTACAAGATGCCAAGGAGGTCCCAGGAAGTCCAGCTCCTTAAACTGATGCTAGTCAATAAACCTGGTCAAGTGAAGCAAGAGAATTGAGAAAGAATCCATCTGTGAGCAGACAGGCAAGGATGAAAGACGAAGGAAAACAGTATCAAAAGCAGAGAGATCATTTAGTTGGGTCTGAAAGGAAAAGTCTTTGCTACCCCGACATATATTGCCAGTAGGTCCCAGAATGGGGAAAAAAAAAAAATTCAGCTGTTAGTAATATAATAATGTCCTTTCCCTGGAGCCAGTTATTAAAAAAAAAAAAAAAAAAACTCTTAGTTTTTACTTGTTTAATTCTAAAAGAGAAGGGAGCTGAGGCCATTCCCTGTAGGAGTAAAGATAAAAGGACAAGAAAAGATTCAAAGCTCTAATAGAGTCACAGCTTTCCCAGGTGTAAAACCTAAAATTAAGAAGTACAATAAGCAGAGGTGGAAAATTATCTAATTCCTGATAGCTTCCTACAGAGCAAGTGATTTATAAACTTGAAATCCAAACCACTTTCTTAATATCACTTTGGTCTCCATTTTTCCCAGGACAGGAAATATGTATCCCATAACTTTCTTGCTTCAAAAATTAAAATCCAGCATCCCAAGATCATTCCATAAGTAATTCTGCACAGAATCTCCTCACCCCAGTGCCTGTCTGGAGCTCACCCAAGGTCACCAAACAACTTGGTTGTGAACCAACTGCCTTAACCTTTGGGGGGAGGGAGTTAGCTAGACAAGGAGACCAGAAGTGAATGGGAAAGGGTTAGGACTCCACAATGTTGGCCTGTCAGAGCCTGATTAGAAGCCAAGCCAGGGGCAGCAAAGGCAGGCTTGGCCCAGGAAAAACCTGTGGGTCATGCTAATTTCTATCCAGAAAATAGGGTGGACAGAAGCTTCTGGGGTGCATGAAGGGATTGGGACCTGGTTATGTTGTTATTCTCGGACTGTGAATTTTGGTGATGTAAAACAGAATATTCTGTAAACCTAATGTCTGTATAAATAATGAGTGTTAACATAGTAAAATATTCGATAAGAAGTCAAACTACCAGGGTTACTTTTTTTCCCTTAATCGGAGTCTCATTTTATCCATTTGGAGTAGAGTGGCTAAAACAATACTGAGGCTTCTGTAAGCAAGGCATCTGGTTGGACAGTGGGTGAGCACCAGGCTTCAAATCAGCATACATGAGCCTTAAGAAAATGGACTAGAGGCTGAGCCAAACCAAAGCAGGATGGCCTTAGAGCAACAACAGCTTCCTAGGTGGTTTTTATATTCTATTTGAAAACAGCCCTGGGCAGGGATATCATAATTTCAAGGCCAAACTAAGCATCATCTTCCCCACAATCTGCATCCCCCAAAGGAACTGCAAGATGAGGGGGAACAGACTGTTTCTGCATAATATACATACTTTCATTTACGAACATTGGAATACAGACTTTCTATACACACATTACCTATATAATAAAAATGTACATGGCATGAGTATATGTCACTGTATAAATATAGAGTTTTAGAAATCTTGAACCCGCACTTCCTGTTCACATCAGTTTCTCCTCTTCTTCCTCCCCAGTCAGGTCCGTCATTTAAGAGTTGGACAAAAGGGACAAGTGTCATTTGTGTTGGTCTGGGCCCAGAATTTGATACACTGGAAAGAAAGAAAGACATACCTCAGGTTTATCCGGAAAGACAAAGGGAAGAAGGATAGAGTGCCAGTAAGGTTCAACAAGGCCTATGTTAGAAAAGTTCTTACTGTGAGGTCCAAGAAGGGCTCCTTTTTTTTTTTGAGACAATCTCACTCTACCACCCAGGCTGGAGTGCAGTGGTGCGATCTCAGCTCACTGGAACCTCTGCTTCCTGGGTTCAAGCGATTCTCCTGCCTCAGCCTCCCAAGTAGCTGGGATTACAGGTATTTGCCACTATGCCCAGCTAATTTTTACATTTTTAGAAGAGATGGGGTTTCACCTTATTGGCCAGGCTGGTCTCAAACTCCTGGCCTCAAGTGATCTGCCTGCTTCGACCTCCCAAAGTGCTGGGATTACAGGTGTGAGCCACTGCGCTTGGCCCCAAGAAGGGCTATTTCAATGGCTCTTACCCTAAAAGAATCCACAGAGCAAGTGAACCTGTCCTTTTTATGAGGAACATTAACAATGAGCTGATGAAAGTGTTCATGGTGCTGCTTTCTGTTGAGTGTCTAGTGTGGCTTGCTCCCCCTTAGGATCCATTTTACCTGAGATGAGCGTTCCTGTTCTAATACCCGCCACCCTCAAATCTTATTCAGAAATTTTTCTTACCAAGAATGTAGATGTAAATTCAGTTTCTACCTCTTGGAAAAGCAAAATGAATGAAACAAAATGGTTAAGAAGGAATCATCCCTGCTACTAAGAGACTTAACTCTTCCTGGCAACATAAAAGAATAGGAATGACTTGTTGGTCTGTGAAGATAATCTAACAGGCAAGCCTTCCAAGCTATTCTGGTATTGGAGTTACTAATCTCATACTCGGGTCCTCCATTCCATTTCTCTTATCTAGACAAAGTCCTTTGACAATGCTACATTTGGAACAACAGTTAGATATGTGGGATTATCACTCACTGTCAATTTTCCAAGAAAGGGACTTAGTGCTCAGTATGGATTTCTTATCCAGTCCCCTGAAGGGAATAGGGTAAAAAGAAGCTGAGAGATCCTAACTGCAGTATTTTAAATTCTGCTAATATTTAAGCCACCTTATGATTAGATATTAAAGACCAGGTGTGGTGGCTCACACATGTAATCCCAGCACTCTGGGAGGCTGAGGCAGGAGGACCACTTGAGCTCAGGAGTTTGAGACCAGCCTGGGCAACAGAGCAAAACCTCATCTTTACTAAAAAAGAGAAAGAAAAAAATTAGCTGGGCATGATGGCATGCGCCTGTAGTCTCAGCTACTCAGGACTTAAACATCTTGAGCCTAGGAGATTGAGGCTGCAGTGAACTATACTCGTGTCACTGCATTCCAGTCTGAGCAACAGAATGAAACCCTGTCTCAAAAAAGAAAAAGAAATGCCAGGCTTGGTGGCTCATGCCTGTAATTCCAGCACTTTGAGAGGCCAAGGCAGGTGGATCACAAGGTCAGGAGTTCGAGACCACCCTGGCCAATAGGTGATACCCCCCGTCTCTACTAAAAATATAAACTTAGCTGGTGTGGTGGTGGTCACCTGCAGTCCCAGCTACTTGGGAGGCTGAGACAGAAGAATCACTTGAACCCAGGAGGTGGTGGTTGCAGTGAGCCAAGATCGCTCCACTGTACTCTAGCCTGGTGACAGAGTGAGACTCCATCTCAAAAAAAAAAAGAGAGAGATATTAATGATGAGGACCAACACAGTAAAAGAAAAGTTATTTTAGCTGTCAGGAAAAAAAGAGTAGAAAATGAGAAAGAAAAATTACTTTAGGTGTCAGAATAAAAAGAGTAGAAAATGAGGAAGGTCTGTAACACCTACCTCCTTGTGCAATACATGGGTACACGCCATTGGATGCAGCTCACTGGGCTGGACGAGTTTCTGGCACATTAGACACAGCTTACAGGTGGCTGGAGCCTGTAGAACAGAGGACACATAGTCAAAATGTAAGGAAACTTGGGTCTCCTTGCCATTTATGACCATAATTCCATGTAGCAAAAATATTTCTATCAAAAGAAATAAAAATCCAAATATAGATTCTTGCCTAAAATACTTGCATTTTCCCAGTAGGGCTGCAAATAACCCAATTGAGGGTTTCTTCCTGCACGCCACCTGTAAACCCACTACTTCCTCACCTCCAGCTTCTCCATATCACAGTGTTCAAAGAAAAAGAATCTTACATGTGAAGACCTTCCAGGATATGAAACTTGGGCAGAAGGCAAGAACATTGGGTTACTGATTTGGGCCAGTGGAGCAGGGAACAAGGCCCGGATGCGACCAAGTGGCTGTAACAGAGCATATCACAAAAATCACTTATTTCCTAGTCCAGCAAAGGAAAAAAGCAGACTAACTACCACTGGCTAGAATGCTTCTTCCTGCCCTACGTTTTTCTGAAATCTGCCTCTTTCCCACCCCTCAGTAGGCCTAAGTTCTCTCCTGAGTAGCTTTCCTCACCTGAGTGCTTGCTGCCACCCGCTCATGTTCCGCCAGACGTGCAGCAACCAACTGGATAAGTTCCTCCATGGTCAGGCCTGCCATGGTGGTACGTGCTGTCTTGATCTGCTGAAGAATATTGGTCATCTGGGCCCTGAGAAAGAAAAATGTAGAGGGAGAGAAAGCCTACACTATACCCATGGTGAACACCCATGTAACATCCCCTATTTTAACTCATAAGCATTTCTCTGATAAAGGCATTTGAATTAGTCCTTGAAGATACTTACTTATTGCACTGTGGGAACCGAGTCAATAGCTTCTCCAGGATCTTCTCCAGTTTGTCTACTGGTTGTGGCCGGGGAGTTTCAGTAGAAGTCTTAACACCACCCAAGCCTGGGGGAGGCGGGATGGAGGCAGCAGGGGGCATGTGTGGACCATGGGGGCTGACAAGGGAACCCAAGCCAGGGCTGTTTCTGCCATGGGAGCCAGGAAGGGGTGAGGAAGGCTGGCTGGGCTGGGAAAGGGCAGGGTTCAGGATTGGGAAAGACAAGGAGCGGGGATCTGCGCTGGGCATAACCATGGGCATTGTGACCTGCCCAATGGAGAAGGGCATCCGAGGAGCCAGAGAGGGACTGGGTTGAAACACCTGAAGCATGAAGTCTGTCTGCAAAGGAGAAGAGGTAGAGGATGAGAGAGAAAGGAAGAAAGATAAAGTTTAGGAACTGGAGAAGAAATCAATGAACAACTCTTGCTGAATAGGGATGGTCACAATATCTTCATAAAAAGAACAAGTACAAGACTCTGCTTCTGCTACCAACACAGAAAGGTGAACTTCCCCCCAAAGCCAGCTCTCTTACCTCTGATGGGGGTGGAGGTAAAGTGGGAGTAGGGATTTGAGGAAGGCTGCTCAGCTTGGCTCCATTCCTCACTAACTGGATATGACTATTAAATTGGTCCTAAAAAAAAAAAAAAAAAAAAAGATTATTTTTACTGCTGAACTGACTGAGGCTCTCTAGAAAGACAGCACCACCCATTATTAGGAAAACAAAAGGAATAGTAGGATAGGCCCTAAATAGCGATACAAAAGGCTACCTCCCGATTGCCAGAAGTGTTAAGCACAGACTAACACTGACTGAATGATCACACATAAATACACTTACACGAACATTTTTTTTCATTATTCGAACTCCATTCAGTCTCGTCTCCCACTCCTGTTTGGAACGAACCGTCTCCAGTGTTGGGGGAGTAGACCTTTCAACAAACCAACAGGAATTTACAGATTTAAAGAAAGCCCTGCTGGACACAGTGACTCATGCCTGTAATCCCAGCACTTTCTGAGATGCCAAGGCAGGGGATCACTTGAGCTCAGGAGTTCAAGACCACCCTAGGCAACGTGGCAAAACCCCATCTCTAAAAAAAGTGCAAAATTAGCTGGATGTGGTGGCTTTCACCTATAGTTCCAGCTACTTGGGAGGCTGAGGTAGGAGGATAGCTTGTGCCCAGGAGGCAGAGGTTACAGTGACCCAAGATGGCACTACTGCACAACTGAGGGAGACCCAGTCTCAAAAAAAAAAAAAGCCCAATTCCTAATTCCCTGAGATAGCAAAATAGTAGCCGGTTAATTGACCTTGAGAAAAGAGGTGGGAGCAGGTGTAAGAGAAGCCCAAGATTCTAATTCCTTTGCCTCACTTTAACTCCAGCATCTTTTAAGCCAAGTTTTTGAGAAAGAGAACCAACCACAGTGAGAGGATTCTTGTCTGCCTGAAAATGCCACAGGGGTCCTCCAAGTTCCATGGCAGAAAGAAAAAGAAATGACTACATAGGAAATGAATCTCCAAAGACCACTGTTATGCTTTGATAGGTTAACAGATGCTAGCCATTTTTTATTTTTTAGAGACAGGGTCTCACTGTCAGCTAGGCTGGAGTGCAGTAATGCAATCAAAGCTCACTGTGGCCTCAA